AGATTATGTAATTGATATATATACCATGCAGTGATAATTTTGCTAGTTCTTTTTATTTTCTTTCAAAATTTTGCTCGGCTTTAATGCAGTTAATTGAAAAGTAATTTTAAAAAATCATTTTGAGTAATTTCAAAACATAAAAGTTATATATGTAAGTTTTGTAGAATTTTTGAAAACTACAATTGATTAAGAAATTTTTTGAATTGTCAAAAATAATTATGTATTTTCATATTTTATAAGGATTGTTTTCATTTTTTTTTTTAGCAGATATGTGAAAACATAATATAGATTGAAAAATAAATCTTCAACCTTGTTTTTCTTTTAATTCAGCCTTCCCAAAGTATTTTAATTGCATTTTCTAGGGCTCCAAACAAGCTTCTTTAAATTTCATATTCTTCAACGCTTGAAGTTTGATTCTTTTTTTTTTTTTTTTTTTATAAAAATTAAAATAAAACTCTTTGAAATCACTTAAAAACCCAAAACCCTGACCTTAATCCCAGAACTATCCAAAATCAAAATTCCAGCCACCCGTCTTTCCTTTCTACCAAACTCGATCTAATAGCCTCCGAATTCAATTAATCCTAACAAAAATCAGAAGGCTTGTTGTTGCTTGACCTAGAGTTTCTCAATCGACACTGTTTTGGAAGACCTTTTTTCGTGGTTTTTTCTGACACTGCATTTGCAGCACCTGGAGAAGATTAGGGTTTCCAGCAGCTAGAAAATGAAAGGAGAGAAGTTGAGAGTTTTTACAATATGGGATATTGAAAAATCCTTATATCAGATATGTATGTATATATATATATATATATTCATATTCATTAAATGTCTTAAGTTTTAGGGAAAACAAATTGAAAAAAAAAAAACTATTAGTTGATACATACACAAGAATAAGTTGGAAGACTTGAATGATATGATTAGTAAACTTTAAATATTTGCTTCATGATATGTTGACAAATATGCAAAATGAACTAATTATATTACGTGCTCTTTTAACTTATTTAAGTAATTCCTAAAACATTTAATTATTACTCAACCTAAAAAATAAAAATCGATGATATCAGAATTTACATGTAATTTTTGTATTGTGAAGAAGTATATCCAATTGCTGAGCTTTATATCACAAGGTGTATCCAAGTGTTGGAGTTTTATGTCATCTTAGAACATATCACTTAATATGAGCATAACAACAAGTTTGAAGTCTACTTCTCTACGTCATTGTTTATCCTTTCATTTTTCTTTTTGTTGCTTGAAAAAAGAAAGCTCAACCATTTAAATCTTCTCTCTTGTTCTCTAATCCTCAAGCACAAACCCTTTCTAATGGCACAGGAAGTACCACACAAGCCTCATGCAATACTCATCCCCTACCCTCTACAAGGCCATATAATACCAGCAGTCCATTTAGCCATTAACCTAGCATCAAGAGGCTTCACCATCACCTTCATTAACACCCACTATATCCACCATCGAATCTTCAAGGCCAGACCCAGCATTCGACCTGACATCTTTCTGGGGATCCGTCAATTGGGTCTGGACGTCCGCTACACCACCGTGTCTGATGGCCTTCCCCTGGGACTTGACCGGTCGCTGAACCATGATCAGTACATGGCTGCCTTGCTGCATGTGTTCTCAGCACACGTAGAGGACGTTGTGTCCCAGATTGTCAAGTCAGCAGGGGAGAAAGTTGATTGTTTGATTGCTGATACCTTCTTTGTATGGCCATCTAAGGTTGCAAAGAAATTTGGGTTGCTTTATATTTCCTTCTGGACTGAAGCTGCTTTAGTTTTTACACTCTATTACCATATGGACCTTTTGAGAATTCATGGCCATTTTGCTTCTCAAGGTAACTTGCTTTCTCTTCAGTTATCTATTTCATTAATTATTTATTTATCTTGTTAATCCTGCATGACGTATGAATGAAATAATTATTTCTCAAAACAAAAAAAAAAAATTACAGCTTGAGCTTCTACTAACATACCATATACATGTATATACATCTATGTATGCTCTCTTTACTTGTAGATTGCCGGGAGGACCCAATAAATTATGTGCCAGGGGTTGAAGAAATCAAACGACAGGACATGATGTCATATCTTCAAGAAACCAATACATCTTCAATGAGTCACCAAATAATTTTCAAAGCGTTTGATGACGTTAAAGCTGCAGATTTCGTTCTATGCAACACAGTTGAAGAGCTTGAACCAAAGATCATAGCAGCTCTTCAGGCCAAGAAACTTTTCTATGCCATTGGACCCATTTTCCCATCTGGGTTCACCCAAAGCTCTGTGCCCACGAGCCTCTGGCCCGAGTCCGACTGCACCCACTGGCTCAACACCAAGCCTCCTCGTTCAGTCTTGTACGTATCTTTTGGTAGCTATGCCCACGTCACAAACAGAGACCTTATGGAAATAGCTAGTGGACTTCTGCTTAGCAAGGTGGATTTTGTTTGGGTGCTACGACCTGATATTGTAAGTTCTGATTATGCCAACCCACTTCCCGTCGGATTTGGTGAGGAAGCTGGTGACCGTTTGATGATCGTACCTTGGTGCAGTCAGATCAAAGTCTTATCTCATCCGGCAATCGGAGGGTTTTTGAGCCATTGTGGATGGAATTCAGTGTTGGAAAGCATATGGAATGAAGTGCCGTTATTGTGTTTTCCTTTGTTGACAGATCAATTCACTAATCGAAAACTAGTAGTTGATGATTGGAAAATGGGGATCAACTTATGTGATAAAGATTCGATCGTAAGGGAAGAGGTTTCGAGCAATATTAACCGTGTGATGATTGGAAAATCAAGAGATGAATTGAGGAATAGAGTGAAGGAGGTGAAGAGGAGATTGGAAGATGCCTTAACACCTGAAGGATCATCAGAGAATAATATGAACAAGTTCGTAGAGGATCTGATGGTCAAGATCAAATATCAAAAGGTTTTATTGACTTAGGATAAATGTGCTTTACACTAAATTCTGTATCATTTTAAATTATGAATAAAAACATATATAATTATAAATATAATAATTAATAAAAATTATTATTTTGTAGGTGATACTATTATTTAATTTCAAAGTTTATATTAAATTAAAATACTTAAAAAAAACAAACAATATATATAAATAATGTACAAAAATTTATAATATATATATATATATATAAAAGTTGAACTCATGACTAAAATTATAAGATAATAGTAACAATACTAAGGCAAATATATATTAGTTTAATTAACATCGCATCAAACTTTTCATTTTTATTATCTTTTTTAACAACAATATTCGTAGTTTCGAACTTTTCATTTTTATACAATACTTGTTGTAAATTTTGAATTCGTTTGCAAATATTTTTTATTAGTACTTGCAACTTTGCTCATTAGGTATTGATTGATATAACAAATTATGACCAATTTGTGTGTTCAGACTTAATTCAATGGTTGATATATTCTTTCCTATACATGTTTGATTATGCATAGCCTTCTTCTGCATTTCAATGATCTGTCTCTCAGAAATTTACTGGATATCAATCATAATAATAAAAAAATAAAAAAAAAAAACAGCAATTCCTGAGATCAAGCCATTATCACTCATGGTAAATTTCAGAAAAAGAGTTGGTTTGACTATGTCTTTTTCTGAAAAATACAAACTCTCCCCATGAACCTTTCTGTCAAATACATGCAGCCAAGAGCTACCCAACGAAGATATTACAGGCCTCTAAGGCTATAAATCTAATGAACTTATTAATAAATTCCAAAAAATTAATCAATGGTCTAAAAATTTGTGCGCTCCTATTTCTGATTTCATTTCAACGAGCTAAAGGCTATAGCAGAAGATATTATACAATTGAAACTCCAAAGAAAATAGTAACAGTTTTACTTTCATTCACGCTCGTGATTACAACAGCGAAGCCTATGTATTGATAAATGATTCTTTACACGAAAATGTAGCAAAGGAAACACGAGGATTCGGTACCCAACTGCCATGAGAAACAACACAAGTAAATTCTCCCACTTGGAATTACTGTCAGGAGAGATGTCATAAGCACTCCTTATAGCCTGAAAACCAGATATGGTCCTCACTTGTCCTACTGCAAAGGAAGTTCCTAGAAATTCATTCTCCAAAAGCCCCTGTAAATAGAGAGGACGAAAAAAAAAAAAAAAAAAGAGGTAACATTTTAGAGAATTACTTGCTGATCTAATACCACATATCACAGAGGTTTGCCAACTGGAGTCATCAAGTTTAGTTTGATTCAAATTTAAATTTCATGAAATAAGAATGAAATGCAATATTAACAAAATAAAAATGAATAAAAATATCACTCTAATTCCAAGTCAATTTCATATCCAACTAAGTTACATTGTATTTGATTTTAACTCTATTATATTTCCATTTAATTCCTAAATATTCATCATTTGTTCATAATTCGTTAATGTATATCAACTTGTTAACAAGAAAATTACAAAAACATCGAATTTTAATTGAATGTGAAATTGGCTTAGAATGATAATGCCCACTTCTATTCCAAATGTTATTACATTTGTATTGTAATCTAATTCCTATTCCATAAATTTGAAATGTCAACCAAAGTCAAGTTTAGTGTTCTTGTAAACAAGTGAGAATATATCATTATGGAGTTAAAAATATGAGCTGAGTTGACTTATTTATATCAAATATGTAAATTATGACTAATTTCTAATTATCGATTACTTAAAATCTTAGTATAAATAAGAATACAATAGACTCGAATCAAACATAGAGTAGAAACAGTATCTTTCTTAACAGAAGTCAATTGATCCGAAATTGTGGCAAGAAGAAGATTTCCTCAGTAATGGATGCAAATCTCAAATTATAATTTAACCTAAGCAGCACAGGATGAAAATGATAAAACCAAGAATGAACCTGGATGGAGTAAGGTATGGAATGCAATGTAAGATAATGGGTACTTCCACACTGGTTCAGCAAAGTACTTCGGATTCTGAAATAACCTGCCGAGAGCATCATTATCACCTGAAATAAAACATGGGTTGACGATCAGAGCAGGAAAATGTACATCCATAACACACCCTGGATGAGGCATATTTGGTCATGAAAACTTAAACAAGTAAACAATTAGTTCCATTAGCATCAAATAAAAAGTCTCGCACGCCTTTAGGATATCAAACACCATTAGTTCTGTGCAATTTAGTACCGTAACAATCAAAATTTTCACTGTGCAAATTAGAAGTACGCCAGCTGACTATCATTATAGCTGTCTCAGAAAATGATATATTCTAGATAGAAGTGATAAAAGATTTTATATGTTCTAGATGCAAGTGAGAGAGACTTTTAATTTTTTGTTATAAAAAAAAAACCTAATAGAATGACTAGTAAACTCACATGGACGGATATGAGAGTCAAGATGCTTCGATAAACATCTTGCCAGAAAGAAGCAATGACGAGTATCAGACCTTCATTTACCAAAAGGCACATGAAGAAATTCAGCACAAAGTACATTAACAGGCTGAAATGATCTTGTAATCCTACTAAAAAGTAGAACACGAGACTCGATGATATGGAGATAAGAAACAGGAAAGGAACACTGGAGAGAATCTGCCCGACTAAAAAGACTAAGGCTCCTGAATGCTGGTTCCTTTCTTCGCTTGCATAAATCTGCAGAGAAGGAAAGCATTTCAATAAGATCACATATGTATCCTTCAGTAAGAAAGCAAAATTAATTAATAATAGCAGATATCACATGTAACCATTCAAGTATGCCATATCTTAAACAAACCACAAGTCCGCCAAACAGTCCACAATCATGAAAAATTCATTCACATCCATACAGACTGTACTGCAGATATGACATTCACAGCGAATAAACTGCTTTACTGGCTAAAATTTATGAAATAACTAATAGAAATGCATTTGACTTTCCACAATCAAATATAAAGCTCATAGAAATTGAAATTTATATTATAACATGAATAACATAATCTTTGTTGTTGCTCTAATTTCAACCAAACAATACTTTTGTTGATAATGTTCCACGAGTCCCAATAATAAACACGCAGGGAACTTGGAGCTAAACCAAAACCAAATTGGGTTTGTCAATTTGGTATAAGTAGATAGCTGTTCTTTGATAATAAAGAGAGCTCAATGAGAGAGTAGAAGGGTGAGAAATTATATATCCTTGAATCCTTAGGAATTTAGAGGGCTCCTTGAGATTCCTGCATTCCAAGGAACTTAGAGAAATGCCTGGGTTCGAGACTCTGAGAATTCAAGAAAGAGTGAGAGAGTTCAAGAGAGAAAGAAAAAGAGAGGGAGAGGAAGAGGGAGAGGGAGAGGGAGAGGGAAGGTGGGCGGGGAAGAGAGAGAGATAAAGTTTTTACAAATTTTTTTCATCGTATTAGAATATATTAGATGCTTTTCTCAAAAAATAAAAGAATATAATAGATATTTTCATCAATATAGGTCAAGTGGATCGAACCACGTTATTTGTTGATTTCTTTTTCCTTTACCTTTTGACAAATTCCAAATAAGTAATATCAAAACAAGGATTAAAAGATTCAAATTTGTGTTGGTAAAAATTTTGGAAAATAAAAACAAGTAGCAATAAAAGAAAATCCTACACCATGAGGAAGAAGCCACTATCACTCCCTGCTCCCATTACTACCACTGACTG